AGGCCCAGGCAGGCGCGACACCTGCACGGAGCGGAAGGCGCTCTTCAGCGTATTCTTGTTGCCGGCCTCGCGCCGCCCGGGCGCCAGCCAGTAATCCACCTGCAGGCCGATGGCCTCACCCTGCGCCCCCCCGGGGGACCTGCAAGGAAGAGGCCGTCAGGGTCCCAGGCATCCAGGCCCAGCTCTGATCACCTCCCTCAAACAGCCTGCCTCAAGTGGGGAAAGACCCCAGGCATCCTGGCCCAGCTCTGACCACTTCCCCCACAGCTCTCACTGAGCAGGGAGAGGGCCCAGGCATCCCGGCTAAGCTCTGACCAGCCCCTGCCACCCCCTTCCCAGAGTGGGGAGAGAACCCAGGCATCCGGGCTCCCCTGCTCTGACACCCACTTCCCTGCCCAGACGTGCCAGGGATGGTGCTCCGTGGGGGCGGTGCAGGCTGGGCCATGCCTCCCAACCGAGGCAGGGCACCCTGGGGGTCTGCCTGCTGTGCCTCAGTTTCCCTGATCTTACCCGGCAGTGGCCAGGCCGCTGGTCATGGAGGGTGACGAAGGGGGGGTGGCCCCGGTGTCCTTGGCCAGGCCTGAGCCGGATGGAGGTGACGTGGAGGGAACCATCAGGCTCAGCGCAGGCACCTCGTCTCCATCGCCTGCAGGGAGAGATCCCAGGTGTCCGGGCAGCCAGTGCCCCCACTCTGACCCCTAGACTCCAACCCCCCCAGGAGCTGCAGAGAACCCAGGTGTCTGGGCCCAGGCTGGCCCCAGTCCTTGGAGTGCCAGACACTGTGGGAGCCATTGGCTGGGCATGGGGGGGTGGCTCTCACTGGGGTGTGGCTGGGTCTGGGGGGGCACGCACCTGGGGCCGCAGGTGAGTCCTCGATGAGCCCAACTTTAACCACCTGCAGGGCAGAGATGGGCACTCAGCTCTGCTCCTCGCCCCCTCCCCAAGCTGGAGACAACCCCGTTGTCCGGGCTCCCAGGTCTCCCTGCTTTCACTCCCCTCAACCCCTAATAATCCCCACTCCCCTCCCAGGGAACCCAGGCTCCCACCCCCCTTGCTCTACCCCCTACACCCCACTACCCCTCAGATCTGGGGAGAGAACCCAGGTGTCCAGGCTCCCTCCCCCACCTTACCCCAATGAAGGGGATGAACTTCTGGTAGGAGTCCTCATCTTGGCTGCAGAGGAAGCACAGGGTCAGTGCCCACCTGCACCCACGGCCCCCTCCCCTCCTGCCATCGCACCCAGAGTGGGGAGACTGAGGCAGCAGCAGTCAGTGGCAGGTAGAGAATCCAGGTGTCCAGGCTCCCAACCCCCCGCCCAACCCACAGGACCCCACTCCTCTCCCAGTGTTGCAAAAGGAACCCAGGAGTCTAGGCAGAGCTCCCTAAACTGAAGGGGGAGCCCAGGCGGCCAGGGGGTGCTGTCACAGCAGAACAAGGAACCTAGGAGTCTAGGCTGCTCCTGCCCCTTGACCCACCAGCCCCCACCACCCTCCCAGGGCTGCAGAGGGAACCCAGGCATGTGGGGGTGCTTCCGAGGGAGCCCCGGTGGTGCTCTGGAGGCTGAGGGGGGGAACCCGGGAGTCCGAGCAATGCTATTAAAGAAGAGCAGGGAACCCAGGTGTGCAGGCTCCACTTCCCCCAACCCACCGCACTCCCAGAACCAGATAGGGAACCCAGGTGTCGGGGGGGGGGGACACGACACGACGGCACACAACTGAGGCAGAGGGAACTCAAGTGCCCTGCCTGCCCCTGGGGACGACACTCACAACTTGTGCTTGCAGGTGAGCATGGCCTCGGCCACAGGAAGCTGCAGTGTCACGGCAGCGCTGGCTACATACTGCCCGATGCGGCCCACCACATCGAACGGCTCTGCGGGGGTGGATAGTGCTAATCAGCCTGGTGCACTCGGCTCGGCATCGCCCACCAGCACCCCGCATCCTGGCACCTACCCTCCTCTCCCACCCACTGTCTGCCAGGGCTCCGGGCCCCTCCTCCAGTGCTGGGATGCAGCCAGCTCTGGGGTGGGCTCCAGGCCCCGAGCAGAACTGAGATGCCAGGGGACCATGGCAGGGGCTAGGGGTACTCAGAACGGAGTTGCGGCTGGCTCTAGGGGGCACCAGGGGCTCAGCAGAACAGGCTGCGGTGCCAGGTGTAACAGAGCTTCAGCCACCTGTGCAACAGGGGCACGCTGGGACCTGGCTCTAGCCCTTGCCCAGTGCTGAGATGGCCATGTCTGGGGGGAGCGGAGGTAGGCAGCCAGGTATGACAGAGCTGCAGCAGCAGGGACAGGGCACACACTGCTCAGATGCAGCCACCTCTGGCTGTCTCCCCCCGACCCCCTAGCTGTCCCCAACCCCTCACCCGTGCTTGGGGGCTCAGTCCGGCTGAAAAGCTCCCTCCAGGCAGCATCCAGGAACATGGCGCTGTACCTGCTGTCCACTGAGCCCATGTACTTGGCCACAGGATGGGAGCCTGGGGAGCAGAAGAGGGGGTTAGCATGGGCACTCCCCTTGGAGGCAAAACAGGAGTCTTGGCTAGGGGTGGGGGCTGAGATGCAGCTGGCTCTGGAGTGTGGTGCTGGAAGTCGAGTATAACAGGAAGCCACCCCAGGGGGCAGAAGCTGGCCACACAAGGCAGGGTGCTGTGCCTGGTCGTGGAGTGAGTGTCAGGGGTGCTGATATGCAGACCCTTTGCCCAGCACTGAGGTACAGCTGCCTCTGGGGTGGGTGCAAGCAGACACAGGTGCAGCTGCCTGTGAGGTGGGCATCAGGGGCTGGATGCAACAGGCTGTGGTTGGAGGTGCTGGGGGCTGAGTTTACACAGCCAGCTCTGGCGGATCTCGGGGGCTGGGTCTAAAGTTGCGGCTAGCACTGGGACCGGCTAGGTGGCAGGGCCGTACCCAGGGGCACGATAAGGAAGCGCATGTATCCCAGCCAGTCGGAGGTCTTGCTGGCCAGCTGCTTGACGAAGAATCGGAGAATGGCGCTGAGGTAGCTCTGCCCCCCCACGGCCACCACCTTCACCGGGCGCGGCATCGAGGAGTTGCAGTTGCAGCTGGGAACAGGGAGGAGGGAGAGAAACAGAGACATACTGCAGCCAGGCTTGGGTACAGCTGGCTCTCGGGGGGATCAGGGCTGGCAAGACAGGGCCCCTGGCCCAGCCCTGGGATGCAGCTGGCTCTGAGGGGCATGGGCTAGGTATAGCATGATGTGGGAGTATAGATGGCCCATGCAGCTGGCTCTGGGGTGGGGTGCGGGCTGGGTATAACATGATGCAGGCTTCTCTGGGGGAAAGCAGGGGCATCGACAGCCCATGCAGCTGGCTCTGAGGTGGGGCACAGGCTGGGTATAACAGCTGCATCTTGCTCTGGGGAGTGCTGGGGGCTGGGTATATCATGCTGCAGCCAGCTCTGGGGTGAGCCCTGGGGCAGGGTATAACAGACTGCAGTTGGTTCTGCAGTGAGTATAACGTGGCTGGCTCTGGGGGGTGCCAAGGACTGGGTGGAAAGGACTGCGGGTGGCTCGGGTGGGTGCTAGGTCCAAGCGGGGGCACTCACTAGCGCTGGATGCGGGTGAGCAGGGCCGAGAGCACGGCCTGCACCTCCAGCCCGGAGCATGTGCAGACCAGCGGCTTCTTCTGCTCCTGCAGCAGCTCCGCCACATACTGGGGGGACGTACACGGGCATCAGGGAGGCTGAGCCAGAACCCCCACCCCGTCCCCTCCCCACGCTGCGCTGCGGGACACTACCTGGCCTTGCCAGTCGGCGCTGTGCACCAGGATGAGGCTCTCAGGCAGCCCGGCCTCCGCCACCAAGATCTGGTTGAGCTGGTCGTACAGTGCCTTGCGCGGGGCCTGTGGGGCAATACAGTGACCTCTGCTGTACTCCCTCATCTAACCCCCAGCACACATTACTGCCGCCCCTTAATGCCCTGCCCCCGTGTGCCCTCTGCCTCCCCCACACCTCGGTGCCAGCTGACCTGCGTGCCGTGGCCCAGGTCGGGCGAGCGCTCGCTGTCGGAGCTGTTGGTTCTCTCGCTCAGGGGCTTGGAAAGCTGGCGTTCACGCAGGGGGGTGCTGCGCCTCTGCCGTGGCGTCTGCCCTGCTCCCTCTGGCCTGCAGGGACAGCGTGCAGGACTCAGGCATCCGGGCACCCCACTCCCCTCCCAGAGCCAGAGGACCTGGGCATCCAGCCCTGCCATGCTCTAACCCACTCTTCTCCCGGGGCCAGAAAAGAACCCAGGTGTCCAGGAGCCCAGTCGCCCTGCTCGGCCCCCAGCCACCACTCACTCCTCTCCCCGAGCTGGGGAGATCCCATGCATCCTGGCTCACAGTCCCTCCAGCTCCAATCCTCAGCTGTGCGCCCTCCAGGGCAGGAGAGAACCCAGGCGTCCAGCTCACCTGGGCGAGGCCAGACCTTGCATCTCGGCTTTGCTCTTCATGGGCGTCTTCACCTTCTCGGGCACAGCCAGCGCGGGGCCCCCGTCCCCGAAGGTGTCCGGCTCCCCAACCTCCTGGGGAATGGGCCTGTCACGCCTGAGGCAGAGCCTCCCTGCCCCCCAGCCCAAGCCTCTGTCCAACCCAGGCCCTTGCCCCTCTGCCCAGCCCCCTGCCCCCCACAGCCCAGCTCCCACCCCGTACCGGGATGTCGGGCTCGTGCAGGCCCTCGTCTGGGGTCCAGCCTCGTGCCACCTTCCCCTTGTCGCCCACCTCCATCTGCAAGGTGCCCACGTCACCGCTGGGTGCCAGGGAGCCCAGGCTGGGTGAGGCAGGTGCCTGTCCCCCATCTCATGAGGTGTGGGGAAGGGGCTGGGGCACCATGCCTGCCCTGCTGCCGGGCTCTGTCCCCTGACCCCCAGCAAACATGGAACCCAGGTGTCCAGGGCCCAGCTCCCAGCAGCCTGGCAGCGCCCCCTCCCATAGGAAGTGCAGAGCCCGGGTGTCTGGGACCCAGCTCCCTGTGGCTGGGATGCACCCCCCGACCCCAACAGGCATGCAACCCAGGCGTCCGGGGTCTGGCTCCCAGCAGCCTGGGTGTGCCCCCTCCCATAGGAAGTGGGCACACAACCCAAGCATCCCGGGCGCTACTCCCTGCTATGCCCTCCTTCCACGCTGGGTGTGGAACCCAGCCATCTGGGCTGCCCAAATTTGGGCAGAGCCAGCGCCCTCTGGTGAAGAGAACGGGGCCAGTTTCCCCCCTCCCCTAGGGCAAGGCTGCCCCCCAGTGCCCAGAGAGCAGGGGGCATCTGTGTCAGGCCCCCAAATCCCATGCTCCGTGCCCTCCCTGCCCTGCCATGGCCCCAGCACCCCTTGCTCATGCCCAGCACCCCCCAGTGCTTTCCCCCACTCACGGGGCTGCCAGCCTCCCTCCCCAGGCTGCCCTTGCTGTTGAGGCTCCCGATCTCCGTCTGGGAGCTGGACTGCGACATGCCCTCGAAGAACGGCCTGTGAGGGATGAGAGGGGGCATCATGGGGTGGGCATCAGCCTCTCAGTGCCCACTGTGGTGCCTGGGGGGGGTCAGCAGGGCCCCAGAGGCCTGTGACCACCTGGGAGGCCTGGAGAGGGGTGTTAGGGGTGGGGTGGGTGTAGAGGGGCCTCTGGCACCTTGCAGAGAGGGACCCAGCAAAGATGCCTCCCTGCAACCCTCGTGGAGCAGCAGGATGAAACCCAGGCGTCGGAGTGCCTGGCCCCTGTTCGTCATGCTCCCGGGCTGAGTCAGGAGGGGTATGTGGGGCAGGGAACTGGAGCTGTGGGAGGCACTGGGGCAGGGAATGGGGCTGATGGTTGCAGCTGGACAGTGGCTAGGGGTGGGGGGGCAGAAGCAGGGGAGTGGGAGCTATGCCAGGGGCAGGGGCAGGGCCATGCACTGGGGGCGGAGCAGGGCTGGGCCTAGGGCTGGGCAGACACTCACTTGAGCTTGGGCTTGGGCGTGCTGAGCACGCTGTCGGTGTCCTCGAGCTCGGGGCCACTGTCACTGGGGTTGTACATCTCCAGGCTGTCGTACAGCTCATCCAGGTCCTCCTCCACCTCACGGATCTGCTCCCGCGACACGTGCTCCAGGCCGAAGCCCACCTGCCACAACAGGTCAGTGTGGCACCCAGGAGTCCAGGCCCCGGCCTCCTGGCCTTCCCCCGCTCCCAGACCTGGAGAGAACCCAGGTGTCCGGGCTCCAGCCCCCCGCTTTAATTCCCCGGGTGTGCTCAGAGCATGCAGGGAGCCCAGGCATCCAGCCCCCGGCTCCCACGCTCTGTGCCCACAGCCCCTACCTACCTCATCCGAGACCTTGAAGCGCTTGAGCAGAGCCACAAACTTCTGCTTAATGTTTGGCTGCTGTGAAGAAAGGGGCGGGGAGTGGTGAGGAGGGCTCGGGGACAGGGTCCTGCACACACGGACGTGGCTCAGACACACGGACATGGTCCTGCCTGGACATGTGGGCACGGCCCACACATGTGGACCTGGTCCTACCCAGGCATGCAGACATGACCCAGACATGTGGACACAGCCCTGCCTGGACACACGGACATGGCCCAGCCATGCCAGGTGGACATGGCCGAGACACACAAACCCAGCCTGGCCCAGACATGTGAACGCGGCCCAGACGCACGGAAACAGCCCTGCCTGGATCCACAGGCACAGGCCAGACACGTGGACATGGCTTGAACATGGGACGTGGCCTGGCCCAGACGTGGGACACAGCCCAGCTCCACAGGCAGCAACGGGGCTCACCCGAGTGATGGCCGAGGCCGAGGTCAGCTTCCTCCGCGTCTTCTTCATCTTCCTCAGCTCCTCGTCCTCGTAGAACAAGTCCTGGGGGGGCAGCGGTGGTCAGAGGGGCTCCCCTCCCAAGCCACGCAACTGCCCTTGCCAGGGCCAGGGTGCCAGCCTGCCCAGGGCACTCAGCCTCTTGTAGCGGGAGGCCGTGGGCATCCATGGGCACCTGCTGCCCATCTCTGGGGGAGGCTGGGAGCAGGGGCGGGAGCTCCTACCTGGCCGTGGAGAGGGTCGTCGCTGCCCTCCTGCTCCGACGAGAAGCTCTCCTCCTCCTCCTCTGAGTAGTTGTCGATGTCGGGAGAGCGGTCTGCAAAACACAGGGGGGTCAGACCCTGCCCCAGGACCCCTGTTCCCTTGGGCATTGCCTGGCTAGGGCCTGGCCCCGGGAGCTGGAGCCCAAGATGGACGTGCCACTTCAGGCAGTGCCCAGGCCTCAGCTCTGAGGCGGCCAAAGACAGGGCAGTAGCATCTGACACGCAGGAAATACAGACCCAGGGGCCACCAAGACAGTCTAGTGGCAGTCTACAAACTAGTCAAGGGGGACCAGCAGGCATTGGGAGAGTCCCTGTTCCCCCGAGCACTCCCGGGAGTTACAAGAAACAACAGACACAAGCTAGCGGAGGGTAGTTTCAGGCTAGATATTAGGAGGCGCTATTTCACTGTCAGGGGGGCTAGGACCTGGAACCAACTTCCAAAAGAAGTGGTGCTGGCTCCTAGCCTGGGGGTCTTTAAAAAAAAGGCTGGACGAACATCTGGCCAGGGTCGTTT